GGGACGGCAACGGCGGCACTGCCGTAACTTTTCTACTCGCTTACATACATGTTTATATCTTAAAACGCTCGCACAGGTGTCGTAATGTGGCGCAGGGGTAGCCCCCCTTTTTTCCGTGCTAGCGGTTCTGGTTTCGAAACTGCAAACCCTGAAAAGTAGCTCCAAGCCCTGTCTATATGTACTTCAAACGCTCGTACGATTACAGTGATGTGCGGTACAGGCGTTGTTCCTACTTTCCGTGTTGGAAGATTGAGCAAGGGGCCAATAAATGTTTCGCCATTCCACTACAGCGACGCGGTGCTGCTATCCTTTTGCTACTGATCAGGCAATATCTTGTTCCGGGACCAACTATAGTCTCCAGCCAGTGGGCTGCATGCAGTACCATCAAGGACATGCCAGAAGAGTAGCAGCAAGAGACTGTTGATCACAGTCTCTACTTTATTGATCCTGAGACCGGTGCTTACACAAACAGCATTAAACCTCTATGGCAGAAATTCAAGAAGGGGCATAAGTTACGGAATGGGACGGAAAAGGCACTATTGAATTCGTATATGGATGAATTCGTATGAAAAAAAATATAGAGACAATGTGCTATACCACCTCTAATTCCAGGTAGCAGAACACTCTTCACCGCCACCAGGTTTCGTTTGAAAGTGCAGGCTTTTTTATCAGCCCTGGCTGGCCTGTCTTATGACAGTTCAATTTTTGGAAAATCCTTTGTCTGAGGGGCGTTAATCCACCTTTTCTTCCAAGTATTCCGACCGGAGGGAAGCTAAATTTGAAGTGAAATACGAATATAAATGTAGCATCAGCGTAAATGCTCAGCTACACGCAAAACTTTCGTCTTTATCCCTGACGGGAACAAACCATCAACGTCTACCCGAGGTGCTGCATCACCTATCCCTGCACTTCACACCACTCAATTTAGATGCGGCTAAAAAAACTGTTCTACACTCCTCGGCAACCTCTCCCCATTGATGCTGCTACAAAAGGTCAAACCCGTCCATAATGTCTAACTATTGTCACCGCTGCACAACTTACCTCAAACTTGGGTAATTGAACATTTTTTGCACTGTTGTCGTGAAATCATCGTCTCTTTTGCCTCACACTGCTTTTCTACGTTACTCAACAACCTACTTTTACAAAAGGCCAAATCCGTCCATAATGTCTCACAATTTCTTGTAAATCTACAACTGCGCAACACATGTTTTCAGCGTTATTAGGAGACTTCTTAGTCCCTAGCCGAGGTTGACATAATTGAAATTTCTCCTCGGCTGCTTGGAGCTGCGACGTAGCTCCAGTCGCAGTTTGCCAAAAGGGGGGCCTCTTTCGAAACCCCTCCTCAAATATGTATATCGGACCGTCAATCGACAAGAGCTCCCAAAAATCTACTGAACAATCGCCCTCTAAAGTCAGTTAATCTCAAATGGCCGATTACACAAATGTTTCAAAGCACCTTCCCAACGTCAGAAAAAAATTACAGTTGGATAACTTCGGCGAAACAAGTTTGTTAAGCATAACAAAGAATTTTTGGAGTAGTAGTTTACCCGTTCACTTAAAAGTAGAATATAGAAGTATTAGGTAGAGAACTGAAAAGAACCGGAATGTTACAATTATACTGAATCCACCCGCTGATTCAAGCAAAGTTAGGCTGCAGAGTAACATAATTAAAATGTAGCTATAAATGTCATCATTCACTTGTCTATGTATAAAATAACAGCAGCAAAAATTTGAAAGCCAAGTGTTTATTTGACAATTGATAACCGACTTTGATTAACTATGAAATAAAGGAAATAAGTGAGACTGATCA